TTAAAAAAAAAAAATGAAAACCGCAAAAAATATAGATAAATATGTCGTGCCTCAGATCGGGTTAAATATTAAACAGAATTATAAAAGATATACAATTATTGATATTTAAAAGAATTTAAAAGTGCCCTGATATCCATTCAATCATTATAACCATAATTTAATCCCAAAAAAAATACATATAATACAGAAAGATTGTGATTATATAGCGATTTTTTTACATAGCTTTACTATGAATTGGTTCTCACAAAAAGTGTGATTATATTATAAAAAGTGTTCGATTTCAATTACTTGTTCCGTGAAATTATTATCAGCATCATTATCATCATCGCTTTTATCATTGCTTTTATCAAATTCTTCTTCACCTTCAGGCCTGTGCAATAATGAATGCTGGTTGGCTGATCTATAATAAACATTCAATATATTAAATTTATTATAATATATTTTAAGTATATTTTTAAATATATTTTTAAGTAAATTTTTAAATATAAAGAATTAATATAAAAGAAACAATAGAGACATGGATGGATCTTACGTTTTTTCAACATTTATTTTTTTTTAAAGAAAAAAAAAAAGAATTATATATTGGGTTTAAATTATTTATTCCTAATCGAATAGCCACCAAAATTAAGATTGATTGGAAATCTTCTATTTACTATTTTTTGCTGTTTTTTGTTATATATGCACTTAATTGAGCTCATGGAAAGTCTCCCACTAGAGCTCTATAATATGATATAATATGATATAATATTATAAAATGTGAAATAATGTGATATTATTATAAAATGTGAAATAATGTGATATAATATGATAAATATAGAATGTATATTATGAAATTACATAAATTACATGCTCAATGGCCTCTACAACTTTTTTCACACCTTTGTATAGTTCTAAATCATCCTCCGAGGCATTTTTGGTAATTCTAATTTTGATGTTTATCTTCTAAACGGTAAAACTTTTTTGAAGTATATAAGATAAAATACCATTCCTTTACTCTTAGTGATAAATTGGGAGATTGTAATATACAGTATATATTTATGTGAAAAATCAAATTGTACCTGTAGTAACAATTCTATAAAGGTAATCAAATTCATTATCAAATGCTTCAGAGGATTTTAGTTTTTTTTGAATTTTGATAAGAAGATTTAAGTTGCAAAACGTTTTGTCCAAATCCTATTTCTATATCATTTCGTTTTGCTTCAGTTATTCAATGGTTATCAATTCTTCTGATTGCATAATCAACTCGAACCATTCTTTCACATATTATTTGTTAGTGATTTTCAGTATTGAAAAAATATATAGGCACCTGACAGCTTCATTAATGCCCGATGCAGAATCATAGAATTCTATTTTACGTTTTATCTCTATTATACACTGCTTTAACTCTTCATCATTACTATCAATTTCGAAAATTTCTTAAAAAATAAAAAGTTTAAAATTATGCTCATCTCTAATAAAAAATAATGTCAACCATTAAAAACAATTATGTCTTAACTTACCTGGTTTGAATAATAAAAAGGAATTTATGTATCCGAACTTGTTAAAAAACCTCTTTCACATCGCTCGGAGTCTTGCACGATGAAAACTTTCTAATTTCTGTTTTTTCATTCCATATCTGAGAAGATTTTACTTAGTAGTCTTGAGAAAATCACGGCCGTTTAATTCTTTCTTTATGGAAATATATTAAAATCGTCATGTAAGAATTTAATAAACTCAACTTTCGTGCTATTAAAGCTCGTCGTCACCATTTTTTAAGCTATTATTTCAAACGTCTCGTTTTAATCTTAATTTTCCGCAATATCAATAGTCTATTACGCAGTGCGCATCGCAAATCAAATAGAAATCTAAAGTATCATCTGTTATGTATTTGAGATATTATAAACCCTCCTCTCTTATGACAGTTTCGGTTTCCTTAAACCGTGCGGATCTATAACTATGACTTCATATGAACTTCGGCGAATTGGCAAATCCAAGAATCAACAAATTTTTCCAAAAATATTGATTTTGTGAAACAGCAAAATCTTCAACAAGCAAAAAAAAACTAATGGGAAATTAAATATCAAAATATATAAATTTCTTATTTTCATAATAAATAAATATCGATAAAGTTGATTTGGTTCACAATATTTATAATGTTGAAGCTAAACTCTCACAAATGGGGCATTTCGGTTATCGGCAATACTTGAACAAATTCATCATTCATTGATATCTTCTTCAATTGCATCCATACTTATGTTTACTGCGGAAGTAAGTTTGGCAATTAATAAGACTTTATCTTATTCTCTTTGGAAGGATATGTCAACGCAACAGTAAACTTTTATCTTTGCTAATACGTTCAGACCTTTTTTAACTGCATTTTGAATCATTATTTAGTAACTTCACCTCGATTTGAAATGTTTTTTTATACATATTTAGTAAAACCATATTACAACTTGAAGTAACTTTGCTGACTAATGATGGAGGCCAAATTGGCAAGAAATTTTTTAATATTTATATCCCCCGCCTTCGCTTTATTCATTAGTTGTTGAACTTGAATTAATTAAGCAACAGTATCCTCTTGGTTTAATTGTTTATTCAAATATATTTAACAAAATGTCAGATTAAATAAAATTTATTGTAGATCCCTGCCACAACATCAAATCCTTAACTCAAAAGTTCTAAAGTTTAACACATTTGCCTTTCCATATCTTTCAAGCGGGATGTTTGCTTATTTATTGTCTTTCGCCTTTTTTCCTTATTATCGATTATTTTTCCAGGAATCTAAGGTATAATCCTATTTTATTTTTGGAAGGTTCCACATCACATTCATCTAAGAAATCTAAAATGATCCACTTGAAAGACATGCGATTGAAATATTAAAGGCGTTGTGTTAAACCCACCAAAAAAAAAAAATCGATAAGGTTATCTTTATCAACTTTCGTGCCTTCATTAGATGTGGAGTATGGTTTGTTATTTTGCGTTAAGATTATCAGACGCGTTAGTTAACACACACGACTAAATTGTTATAAAAATGCGACGACGATATACCAAACACATCTCTTATGATATAAAACCAATACAAATAAAATGTAAATCCCAATTCAAACCTAAACCCACCCAAAGCAGTGTTATCACCGGGGCGCGGACACGGACATTGGACGGGACAAAATTGGGGCCATGTCTCATAGAGTTTATGTCTCATAGAGCTTATGTCTCATAGAGCTTATGTCTCATAGAGCTTATGTCTCATAGAGCTTATGTCCAGGATATTACATTCGAAACAATTATTTTTCGACGTTTATTGTTAATTTCAAGTTTATTAATTATTATTCTTTTTCTTATTCTTATTTACATAATTTATACTTCTTTATAGATAGCACGAATTTATGATATATATATGCGTAAGCGATTTTTTTCAATTATTTTTTATAGATAGATATGTATGTCTGCGTGTGTCGTGTGACAACTAGCTGATTGGACAAACTTTTGGACGCCATTGTCCGAAAATCTCGTTCGTGTACAACATTGGACTCAAAGAGTATAAATTTAGCGAGTATACCTTTGAACAAGCACAACCAGACATCTACTCATTTATGAAGTGAGCGATTTGATATTGAAAATAGAAAGATCCCAATTAAATTAATTAAATTGGTAGAAGAATACCAGAAATAGAAAAATAAATTAACCGAAAAAGCAATTATCTAATTACTATAAATAATTTCAGTTTGTTATAACACCAAAGAGGTATTAATGATTTGGAATTAGGTAAAGTTTAAGGAAAATTATTATAATATAAACATGAATTTCGACTAAGAAAGTTGATTAATGTTCTTAATGAAATCATAAAAATCTATTTCTATTAGAAGCGGAAATTAGTCTTCGTGGAAATAAAAAGGAAAAGGAAATCCAAATTTATATGATAAATATAAACTAAATAAAGAACCTTATAATAATTTTCTAGGAAATTATCTTTGTACAAGTAATTATGACAAAAGGGTAGCTGTAATTGTGGAGTAGCAGTAATATTCATTATCTATTTTAATTACTTTACCAAATTAATCCTTCGCCACTTTTTATATAACTTACTTTCTATTTTCTCTATTAGTTTCATTTAAGAGGTCTTTCATAAACTTTAATCTCCTATATTTAGTTAATAACATTATTGCAATATAAAAATTATATTATGAATTGTAGTTTGAAGAGTTCGGGTAAGTGTTTAGGATCTATTTTTTTATCTATATTATTATTGATACCTGTTATGCTTTGTATCTCTGGCTTTATATGCCTTGTTCGCATTCCTAGCAACCCCAATAGTTTGGCACTAAAATTGTATGGAGGAATCGCCTTCCCACTAGGATTATTAGTTATTTGCATCGCGAATTATTTTGGAAAGAGGGAAGGTACCATTAATAACACTGTCAGAATTACGTCAAACACTATTGAATTAGGTGATAGTGGAGGTGGAGGAGAAGGAGTTGGTGGAGATGGATGTGGAGGTGGGGATGGAGGTGGTGGAGGTGGAGATGGAGGTGGTGGTGGAGGATGTGGAGGTGGAGATGGAGGTGGTGGTTAGTCCTATAATCAACAAAGTGATAATGATTATACAGCATATAAAATGTCATTTTTTTATACATTAAACAATAACTATTCCAGAATAATTACACTTAAAAAAAATAGAAATAAGGTTATATTTTGATTACATAAGGTAAGGTTTATCGCACGTTTATCTAACCCAAAGCATAAATCTTTTTCCTTAATCAGAAACACTATATTTCGTTATCCTTTGTTTACTTTCCATCGTTGATTCTTGTTTGTGAATAAAAAAAAATGATTAAATGAAAGTGAAATGGACTGTTTTGTTAACAAGATATATATTGTTACCGTTAAATAATAATACTTGTAAAATGTTTATTTTATTTTATTTCTTTTTATTTTTACGATAACATAAATATATCTCATCAAAATCTAAAAAATAACCATGCAAACTTTCTTTATGCTCATATATATCAAAAGAAAATAAAATGAACGTAAACGCTCAAGAATTCAAACCAAAATTGAACGTAAACGCACCTATATTTGTTCCTAATTGGAACATTAATAGTCAATTTGATCCGATGATACCAATGGTACCTAAAAATGAATGTTTAATTCAAGACCCTATTCAAAGGCCCAATAATCCAACACTGATTTATGAAAATCCACTCACTAAATTTCGATCATTTTTTATATCTAATATATTAGAATTGTTGAATTCTCCTGAAGAAGAAAAAGAAGAAAAAGAAGAAGACGACGATAATTCTCCAGCAGCCATCATCACCAATTCTCTAACACCAGCAGCAGCTATCAATTCTACATCATCAATAACTATTAATTCTCCAGTAGTTACCGATACACCAACTCTCTTCCAATAATTACCAATTCTCTGTCAGTAATTTCCAATTCTAACTCTACACGGGATATCATTCACCTAATAATAACAACAAAAATAATAATCGAAATATTAATAAATACAATGGATAAAAATAAAATCAAAAATAAAGATCATCGCGAAAATGATCACGATTTTCCTCAATGATCTTAAGTCAATGATAAAAAAGAAAATTCAGAAATTAAAGTAAACTAGCCATTATTTTTTTTAGAGTAACCGTAGATCTGTCATTTAGGAAATAATAATTATTTTTTTTTTTTTAAAAAAAAATCGTACAATATTTTATTTTTATAATAATTACTCCAATAATAATTATCAATTAATTAAGGCATTCAATAATCGACGCGTGTATCCAGTATTCACCAATTGACTTCATCGAAAAAAGATTAATGTTGGGTTGGAATTCTATACTACGATTAACTAACTGTATACATTTGCTATGTGGAAATAAAGAAAATAAAGAGGAGGA